TCCTTGCACATGATTGGGTATTCTTTCCTAAGTGAAGCTTTATCTCATTTACTCAGCTCGGGAGCAGCTGCTCTTGCAGAGTGCAACTGCATTTTGAAAGTGCACAGTTTATTTGCCTTTAGCAAATCAACCACTATGTGAGAAGAACACACCGGGCAGTCCAGACCTGTCTATGGCTTAACCCTTTGAGGACCATAAGATTACGGAACGCCAAAAGAATAAATTTTTTGTTTTTAAAGTTTGTATACTTCAGTTGCTGTAACTAAGCCATTTCATGAAATAATTGGCAAAAAGATAGATCCATTTGTTGATAAGAACTAATATTTTGACTCAAACCAAAAAAAAAAAAAATATTTTAAGTTCTTAATCAGATGATACAGGCAATTAAAAACATGGGACAAATATGTCCCTTGGTCCTCAAAGGGTCAGGGGGCTCTGGCCAACAAAGAGGCCAACTATACAGGAAGACAGTCCATTATGCTAACAGACTGGGGGCCAACAGGCAGAATTTTGAGCTGGTCAGATATATAAAAAAAACTTGGCTGCCTTTTTATGGGGGCTTTTTATATTATGTCTGCTGCATTAATAAAAAGAGAAGGTCCTCTCCAAGGTCCACAGTGAAGCTTACACCATGTGAGAACAATCTCCCTATTCCCATATCACATAACTAATTGGCCAATCACCAAGCTCCTGCACTGTCACATGGTAGGAAAGGGAGTGAGTGACATGCTCCTTCATACCTGAATGTACGGAATATATTTTTTTTTGCTGCAGACAACTGAAAAAAAAAAATTTAAAAGTAACTGCAGCTGGTGAGGTTGCCACTAATGTTAGCCTGGAGTTTTGCCTTGCATGGGTGACTTTAACCACTCAACTTCTAGAAAGTTCTACCCCCATCATGACCAATTTTTTGCAATTCAGCACTGTGATACTTTAACTGGCAACTGTGCAGTCATGCAACACTGCACACAATGAAATTTATATAATTTTGTTCACACAAATAGAGCTTTCTTTTAGTGGTATTTGATCATCATTGGGTTTTGTATTTTTTTATTATATAAACAAAGACTGAAAATTCTGGTAAAAAAATATTTTCTGCTTTATGTTATTAAACATATCCAAATACAGAAAAAAATCAAATTCATGCCAAAATGTATTCTGCTAAAAATCACAATAACTGTGTATTAATTGGTTTGTTTGAAAGCTATAGCGTCTACAAACTTTACTACACCATGTTCCAAATCAGGGGCGGACTGACAACTCATGGGGCCCCCGGGCAATAGGGGATCATGGGGCCCCTGTGTCCTTGCCCAAACTCAAAAAAGCCTATGAAAAAGGTACCAGGGGCATCTCATGGGGCCCCCTACTGACCCTGGGCCCTCGGGCAGTGCCCGAGTTTCCAAATGGTCAGTCCGCCCCTGTTCCAAATTATTATGCAAATTATATTTTTCTCATTTACCTAAATAATTGATGTAAATAACAGTCAGCATAATTCTCATGTTATCAACTATTAAGAGTACAATTCACATTTTATTGAACAAACCTCGTAATGATAACAGGATTTTTTTTTAAACATAAAACACTTCCAATGCGATGTTCCAAATTATTATGCACAGGAAGTTTCAAAACACTTTATAGGTTGTGAAGAACTGAAAATTGTCATTTGTTGTGTTTGCAGCATATTTACTGAAATCAAAAGCTATTTCAATCAAACTTTTAACAACATTTTAACTTTTTAAACATTTTAACAGGTCACGTTACATTGTAACATAGGAGCCCTTATTTGATAGCAGCTTCACAAGTCTTGCATCCACTGAACTTGTGAGTTTTTGGACAGTTTCTGCTTGAATTTGTTTGCAAGATGTCAGAATAGCCTCCCAGTGCTGCTGTTTGGATGTAAACTGCCTCCTACCCTCATAGATCTTTTGCTTGAGGATGCTCCAAAGGTTCTCAATAGGATTGAGGTCAGGGGAGGATGGAGGTCACACCATGACTTTCTCTGCTTTTATCCCCATAGCAGCCATTGATGCAGAGGTATTCTTTGCAGCATGAGATGGTGCATTGTCATGCATGAAGATGATTTTATTATGGAAAGCATAGTTCTTCCTTCTGTACCAGGGAAGAAAGTGGTCAGTCATAAACTCCACATACTTTGCAGAGGTCATCTTTACACCTTCGGGGACCCTAAAGGGGCTGACCAGCTCTGTTCCCATGATTCTGGCCCAAAACATGACTCCACCACCGCCTTGCTGACGTCGCAGCCTTGTTGGAACAGGGTGGCCGTCCACCAACCAACCACTACTCCATCCATCTGGACCATCCAGGGTTGCACGGCACTCATCAGTGAACAGAACTGTTTGAAAATTAGTCTTCATGTATTTTTCTGCCCAATGCAGCCATTTCTGCTTGTGAGCATTGGTTAGTGGTGGCCGAATAGAAGGTTTATGCACAGTTGCAAGACTCTGGAGGACTCTACACCTTGATGTCCGTGGGACTCCAGAGGCACCAGCAGCTTCAAATATCTGTTTGCTGCTATGTAATGGTATTTTAGCAGCTGCTCTCTTGATCCGATGCACGGATCTGGCAGAAATCTTCCTCAATGTGCCTTTATCTGCACAAACTCGTCTGTGCTCTGAATCAGCCACAAATCTCTTAATAGTGCGATGATCACGCTTAAGTTTTCGTGAAATATCGAATGTTTTCATACCTCGTCCAAGGCATTGAACTATTTCACTCTTTTCAGCAGCAGAGAGATCCTTTTTCTTCCCCATATTGCATGAAAATGGTGCTCTGCTTAATAATGTGGAACACCCTCCTTTAGTAGTTTTTCCTTAAATTGGGCTCACCGGCCAATCTAATTATCACAAGTGTCCGAGATTGTTTTCAGTGATCAAAGAGCCCTGACACACAATGCCATCCATGAGTTAAACTGAAAAACAAAATATTTAATCTTTGTGACACTTAAATAGAATTTGCATAATAATTTGGAACGCGGTGTATATATACCGGAATTTATGCAGCTATGACACTATATTGGTAATGGCGGAGATCAGCGACCTATAGTGGGACTGTGATAGTGTGGCGGACAATCTAGGGCTAGCTAACGCTGGCTGGGAGGGTCACTAAGGGGTTTATTTACTAAAGCTGGAAAGTCCAAAATCAGACTCCCTTCTGCCTAGAAACCAATCAGCTTCTAACCTCAGCTTGTTCAATGAAACTTTGTGTGCCTCTTGATCCTGACTCTTCCTGGCAATGAAACCTGGAAGCTGATTGGTTTCTATGCAGAAGGGAGTCTGATTTGGAGCTAACATTGTACACTGTCACTGTAGTAATGACACTGGCTGGGAAGAGGTTAACATCTAAGGGCAATCAAAGGGTAAATTGTGTGCCCAACATTGAGTAATGTGTGCAGCTTTTACTTTACTATCTTGCTGTTTTTTCTCCCTGCTTTGCTTTGCAGGGAGAAAACACAGCCAGATCTCTGTTCTGTGTACACAGAGTTCCATGTTTTGTAAACACAGAACTTCATGTGTCGTTGGACATTCCCAATCAGCTGCTTTCAACCAAAATCATTGACTGCATGCATGCTAAGTATTGTAACTCTTCCAGGTATTTATTACGGATTCTCACAGAGATTACAGTACTCCCTCTAACAATGCCTTCATCTGCTTCTCTCTCCAGAAGGATGGCACCATCTTTGTTCAGCCATCATCCAGGTTCACTATCAACCACCTGGGCTGAGATTATGGCTCAGAGATGACATCACCATGCAAATCCTGGTGACTGTGCAATTCATGGTCTTGTTCACAAATGTCAGACCTAAATCAGACCCCATTGAGGTCTTTCACCTTTTGACTTGCATGGAAGTCACAATGTTGCAGTTTAGTCAATGGGGGAGAGGAGACTGAGGACATGCTGTCTCCTGCCTGCAGCAGACTGATGAAATCATCTCAGCCTAGGCAAAGTCAGTGTACTAGAGCCCAAACATGGCTGTTTGTATGATAAAACATTCAACCTATTTCCAAAATGGTACTCGGCTACATATTTTAACAAATCAAGAATTTATTAATGCAGATTCACTATAAAGAGGAACTTCACCCATTAAAAAAAAAAATAAATAAAAGTCGGTAGGTACAAATTCTGTAGCTGCTGCCATTTAAATATCAAGTACTTACCAGTCCATGGAGTCCAGCACTGTCTTCCCGTAGCTGATTCTTCTCCCTGCTGTAGGTCCCCAGTGCCACCATCTTGGATTTGGGAGCATGCTGTGACTTCCTAAAGAATCAAGGTGAGAAATATGTCTTCAGCATACCAGGAAACTCCACAAAAGGGTCCACCGCTTTATTGATTGATCTCATCACCGCAGAAGATAGAGACATTTCGGAGCCACATGCCTGATGAATGGTCCTGCGTGGCTCTGAAATGAAAATGGCGCTATCATTTGCTGTGATGTGATCAATAAATAAAACATTGGACCTTTTTCTGAAGTTCCTTGGTGTGCTGGTGACATATTTTTTTGCTTTGAAGTCCTTCCAGTATCCTAACAGGGGTCACTACAGCACCCACTAACTCTTCAGCCATCTTCTGGAGTGTGTGCCTTGGGGATATTGCCTGAGGAATCACAAAGCTGGCTCCCCATTGCTCATGTGCGAGAACGCATGGCATAGTAAGACAGTTCCTGCAGCCTCCTTGTATAGGAGACTGGAGGCAGCTAGAGGGACTTGGACGTGCAACATAATTCTTGCCTTGGTAAGAATTGAGGAAGTGGGAGCAGGTATCTGTCAAAAAAGGAAAAAAAAAAAAGAAAAAGCCACCAAACATGTTAGGGGCAGAGGTGGGGAGGAGCAGTGGTAATTTTACTTTTGGGTGAAGATCTACCTTAAAGTGTTACTAAACCAAGGACCCTGCATTCACTATATCCGGTCTCGGTCGGACCCTGCCCCGGTCTCCCCCTGCATTCACTATATCTGGTCTCCCCGGACCCTGCATTCACTATATCCGGTCTCCCCGGACCTTGCATTCACTATATCTGGTCTCCCCGGACCCTGCATTCACTATATCTGGTCTCCCCGGACCCTGCATTCACTATATCTGGTCTCCCCGGACCCTGCATTCACTATATCTGGTCTCCCCGGACCCTGCATTCACTATATCTGGTCTCCCCGGACCCTGCATTCACTATATCTGGTCTTCCACAATACAGAGATTATGGAAATGCAATTATTTTAGTAAATATACACTTTGAATACCTTTTCTCATCAGCAGTTAGAGCTGTCTTGTGACCAGGGGCGTACTGACCATTTGAGCACTCGGGCACTTCCCAAGGGCCCGGGGTCAGTAGGAGGCCCTATGAAATGTCCCTGGTACTTTTTTTTATAGGCTTTTTTGAGTGTGGGCAAGGACACAGGGGCCCCATGATCCCCTATTGCCCGGGGGCCCCATGAGTTGTCAGTCCACCCCTGCTTGTGATTTCTATCAGTGTCCAGCAGAGCACTAGCTAAAGCTTTGTAGGAGGAGTCTTCATTCTCCCCTGATTGTCCTTTGAGGCTGCAGGATCCCTGACTCTCTGTCTGGACAGCAGTGATTGACCCTCTGCTGATCACATGCACCCTTCCCAAAAAAAAAAATAAAGACTCTCTAGCAATACACACCAAACTGGACATGTGAATCTTGCCCCCCCCCCCCCCCACCATATCAAGGCTCTGTTTGGTCAGTAGATGGATTAGTGAAAGGACAAGAAGGGGAGGATCAGAGAAAACAAGATCAAACATCCTTTTTACACAATGTGGAGGACTAATCCCTTAGGTTTCATAGTGAGTATAACAGGCATGCTTTACTGCATATACAGATCAATTTTACTATTGTTTGTCTAGTAACACTTTAACCGCCTCCCGCCCGCCATATAGTAAACTGACGGACGCAAGGCGGTTCTCTCGTTCTGGGAGGATGTCATATGACGTCCTCCCATTCTAACCGTGCATGCGCGGCTCCGGGAGCGAGCAGCATGGCAATCGGCAGTGCGCTGTGTCCCTTGGACACAGCGGATCACCGATCAATGGAAACAGCCGAAGATGTCTTCTTGGTCATGTGATCAGCTGTGTCCAATCACAGCTGATTTCATGTAAATAGGGAAATGCCGGTATATAGGAGAGGAGAGCCAGTATTCGGCATTCCTCGGAGGGGACATGTACACTGATCATCAGAGCACTGATGATCAGTGTGCCCTGATGATCTGTGTAGCTCCAGCAGTGCCACCTGTCAAAGTCCATCAGTGCCAGCTGTCAGTGTCGATCAGTGCCACGTGCCAGTGCCTATCAGTGCCACAGCAATGTCAAATATCAGTGCATACCAGTGCACATCAATGCCACATATCAGTGCCCATCTGAGCTGCCTTTCAGTGTCATCCAGCAGTGCAAGTCAGTGCCACCTATCAATGCCAATCAGTGCTGCCAATCAGTGCCAGTCAGTGCGGCCTATCAGTGTGCATCAGTGCTACCTATCAGTGCCAGTCAGTGCTGCCTAACAGTGCCAGTCAGTGCTGCCTAACAGTGCCAGTCAGTGCCACCTAACAGTGCCATATATCAGTGCCATGTATCAGTGCTGCCTTTCAGTGCCCATCAGTGATGCCTGTCAATGCCCATCAGTGCCACCTACCAGTGCCTCCTCATCAGTGCCCATCAGTGCCACCTATCAGTGTCCATCAGTGCAGCCTCATTAGCGCACATCAGTGAAGGAGAAAAATCACTTATTTACAAAATTTTATAACAAAAACTTTTTATTTACAAAATTTTCAGTGGTTTTTGGTTGGTTTAAGAAAAAATAAAAAACCCAGAGGTAATTAAATAACACCAAAATAAAGCTCTATCTGTCTAAAAAAAAATGATAAACATTTCATATGGGTACAGTGTTGCATGACCGCGCAATTGTCATTCAAAGTGTGACAGCGCTGAAAGCTGGAAACTGGCCTGGGCAGGAAGGGGGTATAAGTGCCCTGTAGGCGAGGGGTTAAGGAATATTCCGATTTTTGCCTAAATCAGATTGTGTTGGTTTCTCATTGCAGAACAAAAAAAAAAAAAAAAGTTTGTGCACTTGTGCAATAATTTGTATGTGGTTAGGACCGTTTTTTGGATCTTTTCTGAGGCTGAGCTAGACAACAGGTTCCATTGTCCTGCCGTATTAACCTTCATCCAATATTGAAAAAGGATGGAAGGTGTAATGAGGACATTAACATTCACACAACTACCTAGGGAACCAACAAACCGGGGCCAACGCTAAAACCTTCATTCTAATTAGATGAGTCTGTCTCCCAGGTGCTAGGCATTTATCTGTGGAAAGCAGCAGATAGTGTAAGGAAGAAGATATTTACACTGGGGGGGAAGCCAATGAACTGTTGAACAGATTATAAAAATGACGATAAGCCACCGCGCTGTACGGAATATTATTAAGCTTTAATGTAACCAAGTGCTTAACGGCAGAAGGATAATATGCAAGCAGCGCAGTATATGTGCTTGCTTCATTTTTTTTTTTTTCTCTCCCCTAAAAGCAACAGACATATTATTTCAACTCAGAGTGAATCAACTTCTTGTCCCTAAGGTGTGGAAAACACGAGTAAATTATAATCTCTGGGAAAGATTATTAAAGTCTGGTTTGTAGTAATTTAGAAGAATTAAGTGTTTTTACTCAGAAAGGGAGAGGGTCATGGAGATTTGTTGGTAATTTATTTAACCCAACCGTCCACTGGGTATAACTTCAACTTGTCTGGGATGACTTAAGAAACTAGAAACATGTTCATGTTCATGTAAAGGCCGGCATCCCATTACTTTTGGCAATACAGTATAGTGTATTTCAAAGCATTTTTTTTTTTACTACACTGTTCAACAGGTAAAAAGTTTTGGGCATAAAATTAGCTAATCTTACATAATTTTGGGGTGCTGAAAACGAAAATGACCCTAAAAAATGTTGATTGGCTCTAGTTTCCATGATATATTCACCCATCTAATGATGTAAGCCATTCAAAATTATGATGCAACGTCAGCTGCATATTGCGCAATTGATACTGGTGACCAATAGAAAATTGCATGTATACTGAGATGATGCAATATTAGCCTTTAATTGCATCACTTCACTGCATAACAGCTGCAGTATCTGTAGCTGATTGTAGTTTGGACAGCGTCTTTACATTTCGTTTTATGCTTATATAGGCTACTCAGTAATGCCTCGAACTTGTGTGAATAAAGCAGATAATTTCTGCTATATCTGCGGTGAAATAACTTTTATCTCACAAAAAAGGAGGATAACAGGAATGATTAAGAAAGCCTACAACTTGTATTTTGGCTGCAAGATAGGAGACCAGGACAAGAGCTGGGCACCACATATATGCTGCAATTCTTGTGGGACGGCACTGGAGCAATGGTTGAATGGAAAAAAGGCATCTATGCCTTTCGCTGTGCCAATGATTTGGAGAGAGCCAACAGATCATGTTAGTAATTGTTACTTTTGTATGGTGCCTCCAAACAAAAGGGCTAAATAAGAAGAAAAAGTTATCTGTGCACTATCCAAATATTCCATCGGCAATACGTCCAGTTCCTCATGGAGAGGGGCTACCAATTCCTAAAGCACCAGAATCCTTCGTGGTTGAGTCAAGTGAGGAAGAACCTGAAGCGTGTAGTCACGTGCAGTTGTAAGAGATAGCCCTTTCCTCGAATACAAGAGAAAAGCCAAGAGAAGCAAAACCGACACAAACTGAAGACAAAACTAGTGAGAATCCTAAGTATTAAAATGATTCAACTTGGCTTATGGCTATAATTTTTCTTGGTAATCCTATGCAATATATTATGCCATTTAGGCTTTGTTATGTAGTCAATATCACTTGCTTTATATTTGTGGAAAGACATCTATCTATATAATTATTGTGCATTATGTAGTCATTACGCCTATAGTAGAAAACTTTCCGTTTACAGAAAAACTAGAGCCAATTGACAAATTTCATTGTTTTATTTGAACTCAGAATGTGAAATTCATTAAGAAATGGATCCTTTTGTTTCCAAAACTGGCAAAAAATAAAATTTTGTTGAACAGTGCTATCGGCAAATCAAAATTGTAGATATGTTGGATAGGTGCAGTGTGGCATGGCAGGGAGTAAGTACACAGAATCCCTGGTGTGTGGCTCAGCTCTGGTCTGGGTGAAGTTGGGGTGTCTTCATCACTGTGCTTTTGCTTACCTGACATCAGCGCCCTCAAGTTCAAGCCGCGGTTCCAGCTTCCTGGTACCAGTTCCATTGCCCTAGCAGTCCTTATTCCACCTTTCAGGGGAGGTTAGACGGGAATTATGCAAGAAGCCACCATCATCATCTAAAGCTCCTCACACTTGTATGTTACAGCCAGTCTTGTGATCCAGGCACCCATGACAGATCGTGTGGCTAAGTTTCTGATAATTAATAAGTAATTTAGAAGAATTAAGTGTTTTTACTCAGAAAGGGAGAGGGTCATGGAGATTTGTTGGTAATTTATTTAACCCAACCGTCCACTGGGTATAACTTCAACTTGTCTGGGATGTCTTAAGAAACTAGAAACATTATGTATTAGTGTAGTAGGATTAACCAATTCCCCCTCCCCCCCCCTTCCCACGTACACTATATTGCCAAAGGTATTGGGCCAGCCCTCCAAATCATTGGATTCAGGTGTTCCAATCCCCTCCATAGCTACAGGTGTATAAAATCAAGCACCTAGGCATGCAGACGGCTTCTACAAATGTCTGTGAAAGAATGGGTCGCTCTCAGGAGCTCAGTGACTTCAAGCGTGGTCCCGTGATAGGTTGTCATCTGTGCAATAGCATTTCTTTGCTACTAAATATTTCATGGTTAAATGTTAGTGGTATTGTAACAAAGTGGAAGCAACTGGGAACAACAAAACTCAGCCACCATGTAGTAGGCCACGTAAAATGACAGAGCGGGGTCAGCGCATGCTAAAGTGCGCAGAAGTCGCCAACTATCTGCAAAGTCAATAGTTAAAGACCTCCAAACTTCATGTGGCCTTCATATTAGCACAACAACAGTGCATAGAGAGCTCCATGGAATGGGTTTCCATGGCCGAGCAGCTGCATCCAAGTCTTACATCACCAAGTGCAATGCAAAGAGTTGGATGCAGTGATGTAAAGCACACCGCCACTG